CTGACTGTGCTCCTAGTGGAGAAAGAGAAAACTGCAGGTAGCAGTCTGCCCATGCAAAAACTGCATGAATCAACTCCAAAGAACCTCCATACTTGTAACTAGGCCCCACCTCCCTACACTGTACTGAGAAATTAGGTGTAGACCACATGGGTTTTGGTGAGGACGTGCATACCATCACAGAAGTTTTAGAAGCAGGCTAGGATTAGAGTGTGTGTGTGTGTGTGTGTGTGTGTGTGTGTGTGTGTGTGTGTGTGTGCGCGCGCGCGCAGCTACATGTGCTTGGTAGAGACCAGAGATGAATAATCAGGTGTTATCTGGTACTTGCCCCCTTTTTGAGACAGGGTCTTTTACTGAGCCAAGAGCCAGGTATGTGGCTAGATGAGATCACCAGCAAGCTCCAGGGACCATCCATCCCTCAGTGCCTTTACCAACCAAGCCATCTGTCCATTCCCAGGATTAAAATCTTTTTCCCTTTGTAGTCTTAAACAAATTTTCTTACTATCCTGTGTCTGTTTCTTTCCTAAGTGTAGTTAATAGTAAATGGAATGATAATGTACTTATTGGTACAATATCTGGTGGTTTGTCAGAACTTCCAGTAATGGCCATGCTTCTGGCATTCATTATGTTACTGTTCACTCTCTGACCCCATCCATTTGTTTCAAATTCTTCAAATTTGAAATCTGTTCAGAATTATATGAGAATAAAGGTTGATGAAAGGACAGCGTGTGTGTGTGCGTGCGTGCGTGCGCGCGCGCGCGCGCAGCTACATGTGCTTGGTAGAGACCAGAGATGAATAATCAGGTGTTATCTGGTACTTGCCCCCTTTTTGAGACAGGGTCTTTTACTGAGCCAAGAGCCAGGTATGTGGCTAGATGAGATCACCAGCAAGCTCCAGGGACCATCCATCCCTCAGTGCCTTTACCAACCAAGCCATCTGTCCATTCCCAGGATTAAAATCTTTTTCCCTTTGTAGTCTTAAACAAATTTTCTTACTATCCTGTGTCTGTTTCTTTCCTAAGTGTAGTTAATAGTAAATGGAATGATAATGTATTTATTGGTACAATATCTGGTGGTTTGTCAGAACTTCCAGTAATGGCCATGCTTCTGGCATTCATTATGTTACTGTTCACTCTCTGACCCCATCCATTTGTTTCAAATTCTTCAAATTTGAAATCTGTTCAGAATTATATGAGAATAAAGGTTGATGAAAGGACAGCGTGCGTGCGTGCGTGTGCGTGCGAGTGTGTGTGTGTGTGTGAGTGATTAGTGAGATGGCATACACTCCTCCATGCACTTGTATACATGTGAAGCCAAAGTTGATGTCTGTTGAAGGTCTTCTATCATTTCTTCACCGTGTGTTTTGAAAATGGTTTTCTCGATGAATCTAGAGCTCCTCCTCTTTACCCTAGACCCCCGTGAGGTTCTGGGGACCAGCTGGCTTTGCACTCTCCATCCAGTGCTGAGTTATAGATGGACATTGCAGCTCCTAGCTTTTTAGGTGGATGCTGACCATCCAAACTTAAGTCTCACGCTTGTTTGAAAGCACTTTACCCATTAAGCCATTTGTCTCCCCAGCCCTAGTTTCTGCAAGTTCTTAAGCAATTTGCAGTTTTCAAAGTGAATTTGCTTTTATTACATGTTTCAATTACTGACTGACTGCAAAACAAATTTTCGAGAATCCAGTGGTGTAAAACAGTTTATTTTGCTTTCCGATTCGGTGGGTTATCAGTTTTCAGACTGGCACAGCAAGGGCTCGTCTGCTCCATGGTCCCTCAGAACTCAGTGGAAAGGCTGGAGTCTGAAATCTGAAGGCTCTTCACTTGAATGTTTAGTAGTTGATAACAATGTCAGCTGGAAGTCTTGGTTGATCTCTGCATGTTTCTGTCCATGCTGGGTCTCTAGTTGAGGCTTTTTTGCAGCTTCGTGACTTAAGTTCCAAAGTTGATGCTTGGGGGTGGGTGCAGGCAGGCAGACAACTCAACTCGGGTGCTCAGGTGTGTGCCTGTGCGCACACACACATTCTATGTTGAAGGACTACCAGTCACATTATAAGAACATGTGAGTTATATGTGCATATTAATGAAGCTGTCTCCAGTCTGCCATTTTGCTGTCCCTGATTTTCAAGTTCCCCTGTACAGTAGGTCTTAGAGATGACTTTACTGGTGGGAAGTTGCAAGTGTCTGTATCTAAACTAGAGAATCGACCACAGAAAACTGACTAGTAAGCTCCTACTTAGTTGGGGTAGTTGATTAGTTGTGAAGATTATGTACATTCTCTATTTATAGAGGTGGGGTAAAATACAGATGAGATGTCCGACTAGAATATTGGCTGATAACAGATGGATGAGATAGCATTTTGTGGGAATGTACTAGCAGTATTTTCACTGAACAATGCCAGTGGATTTCAGCCTTGCCGATTGGTTTAAAGGAAAGCTGACAGACTACAGCTGGTGTGCTGAATTCAGCCAACCCTGTCATTTATTGGAACACTCATGTCTGTATTGTCTGTGCTTGCTTTTGTGTGGCAATGGCTGACTTGAGTATCTATGAGAGAAACCATTTTGCTACCAAAGCAAAATTGCCCTCTGGCCCTTAGAAGCTTTCAGACCCTTTCTTGTTGTAGAAGAATGACCAGATACAGTCAGCCTGACATTTCCCCTATAGGAAACTGTGGCTTTTACTGGATCATTTGTTTAACAACAAGAGCAAGCATGGGTGCTAGGAATAGAAACAACTTAATGCCTGTCTAAGAATCACTCACATGTTGATAGTGAATAGAAAACCTAGGTTTACATAGCACAGTGTTGTTGAGTAGTTTTGTTTTAGAACTGGTCATACATTTCTCAGTGAAGGAAACTATAGTTGCTAAAGGTAAGTAAGTGATAGATTTTACAGAGAGAGCACCTACAAAACCAGCACTGATTAGGTTCTTGGAAATAGGCAGAATTTACAGGGTAAAAAAAAAAAAAAAAATGGCAAAAAGTCATTTTAGACTAGGGAAAAGTAGGAACAGCATTGTGAAGATCAGTTTTACACTTCAGTACCACAGGGATTCATAGCTGGAAAGTGGGAAAGAGCCAGAGAGTGAAGAGAGATGGGACTGACTAATAATGTAAGCTGCAGAGGCAGGAAAAGCCTTAAAAGCCAGAGGGCTCGAGGGATAGCTTAGCAGTTAGAGCATGCGCTGCTCTCACAGAGGACAGCAGTGCAGTTCCCAACACCCAGTGTCTGAGTGGGAACAACCATCAGGAACTCCAGCTCTGGGGGAGTCTGAAGCCTCTGACCTCCACAGGCATCTGAATTGGTGTGCACATACCCACTCACGGAATACATAAAAGAAGAATTAAAGTGTTTTTAAAATTGTAAAATTAAAATGTCTTAAAAATTGTAAAAGATTTTCGAGCTCCTCGGGAAACAGAACTGTGAAACTATTATTAGCTGTGAAATGGTTGAAGAACCTAGAGGGCTTTGGCCTGGCAAATTTTTGACCAGGGAAGCACTGCCATTTTCCTAAGATGCCTAGTACATTTGGAGGGCTAGACTTACAGAAGCAAAGATAGATTTCATCATAGGAAATTTTGCATTTGCAGCATCTAATGAAAATCAAATGAGGCTTTGGAAGCCTGAACTCAAGAAAAGGGAGCATCCAATAGAATGGTATTTGAAATCCTGCATAAAATTGCAACCTCCCAAAAAGCAGGGAACAATATCTAAGTACATAGGCCAGGCCTGTAAAACCAACCACTCTGTGGGATGGCAAGCTTAAAGCATGTCTGGGCTACAGACTGAGTTCAAGACCAGTATGGACAACTTAATGAGGACCTGTCTCAAAAAGTAAAGAGGGGACTAGAGAGGTGACTCAGCGGTTGGCTTCATTACTTTCTGTTCCTGTGCCAAAATACTATAACAAAAGCAGCTTACAGAAGAGGGGTAGTTTGAATTTTGGTTCCAGGGATCCGTAATGACAGCAGGAAGATAGAGCAAAAGCTGAGAGAGCAAACTTGGAAGTAGGGCGAGGCTATGGTCTCTTGGAGCCTGCCCCATACTTCCTCCAGTAAGTCCCCTAAACAGTACCACCAACTAGGTAAATTTCAAATACCCAAGCCTTATAGGGGACATTTCTCATTCCAACCACACCAATGGTCAAGACCACATGCTACTCTTCCAGAGGACCCAGGTGACCAAAGTACGGTTCTCAGCACCCATATCTGACAGCTCAGCAGTTTTGTAGTCACATATACATAGCTACATTTTGTAGCTACATATACACACGAAGACACAAATGCATACACAGAAAAACGAGTCCTAAAACAATTTAGTTGAATATAATATTTTTGTGATGCTCAGGATTGAACTTGGACCTAGAATTTCTAAAGCAGTCTTTTGTCTAGAATATAGTGCAGGCATTAAAGCTTAAGGATAGCTTCCCCAAGGTCACACATCTGGGAAATGGTGGTCCTTCTCTGCTTCCCTGGTCCCTTTCCTCCCACTACCCACCAACACCATGGGGATGTGTTTGCAGGTAAGTTAATGCTTTTTCCATCAATCCATATAAATAGGTACTAAGTCCTGAAAAGGAAGTCAGAATTTTTCCTCATAAGAAAATTCCTTTTTTAATGAGCTACTGGATGTTAATAAGAGATGTGTGATATGCATATATTTTGTATTTTGTGTAAATCCACATTTTCACTGAAGTGGATGTCAGGTCCAGGCTTGTGGTGCATGCCTGTAAGCCCAGCCCTTAAATGGACAGGAGGGTCAAGGAGAAGGTCATCGTCAGCATATATCTAGTTCAAGGCCAGCCTGAACTATATGAGACTCTAGAAACAAACAACAACAAACCAAACATACACAGCTGTGGAGTTCATACATACTCCATAATTTGTCTCCAGAGAAACATAACAACACCTTGTCTCCCTTGTGCTCAGTGTTGACAACCCTGGTTCTCTTTTTAGGAAGTTTCATGTAAACCTGGGCCTGGGTTTTAGTCCTTGTTTTCATTTTCAGGTGTCTGCTCTTGGGGCTGAGTTCTCATCAGAGGCATGCAGAGAGTTGGGCTTCTCCAGCAACTTGCTCTGCAGCTCTTGTGATCTCCTCGGACAGTTTAACCTGCTTCAGCTGGACCCCGTTTGCAGAGGGTGCTGTCAGGAAGAAGCACAGTTTGAAACCAGAAAGGTACTGTTTTCTGTCATCTCTTTAGATAAAATACAGATTGCTTAATCAATTTAAGCAGTTGTCTTTTGCTTTACAGGTAAAATTCAGTCAGTAGCTTGCCTGGTCTACTAGATCACTCAGGAAAAGTATGTTTACATACCAGGATCCATGTCACTGTGGTTGTCCAGCAAGGGCAAGGGAGGGCAGGACATACACCACAGAATCACCATAGCACGCCTGTGTCCCACCATGAGCTAGTCTTCCTCATCTCTAGGCAAATGGGGGCAAGGAGCAATTGATTACACTTTGGTTTTGAAGGGACCAGCTCCCCATTTCAGCAGCCATAACAGCCGAACACGTGCTTCCCATAAACCTGCCTTGGTCACTTAGAGGTCAGATGCCTGTCTTGTGACAAGGAACCAATCGGAAGCTAGCTGGTGGCGC